CCACCCCCCGGGACAGCCGCAGGGCACCCCCGGGACAGCCCTGTGGGGCACCCCCGGTACAGCCCCGAGGCACACCTGGGATAGCCCCGGGGAAGCCCCGGGACAGCCCTTGGCAGCCCCAGGAAAACACCGGGACACACCCAGGACTGCCCCGGGGCACCCGCGGGACAGCCCCGAGGCAACCCCGGGACAGCCCGGGGCACGCCCGGGAAAGCCCCGGGACAATCCCCGGGTAGCCCCGGGACAACCGCGGGGCACCCCCGGGACAACCCCGGGGCAGCCGAGGAACTGCCCCGAAATACCCCCCGGGAAAGCCACGGGACAACCCAGGGGCACCCCGGGGACAGCCTCGGGCACCCCCGGGAAAGCCCCGGGGCACCCACGGCACCACCCCGGGGCACCCAGGGACAGCCCCAGGGGACCCTCCGAACAACCCCGGGGCACCCTTGGGACAGCCCCGGGGCACCGTCGCGACTGCCTTGGGACAGCCCCGGGCACCCCCGGGACAACACTGGGACAACCACCGGACACCTCCGGGACAGTCCCGGGGCACCTCTGGGACAGTCCCGGGGCACCTCCGGGACAGCCCCGGGGCCCCCCCGGGACAGCCCCGGGGCCCCCCCGGGACAGCCCCGGGGCCCCCCCGGGACAGCCCCGGGGCCCCCCCGGGACAGCCCCGGGGCCCCCCCGGGACAGCCCCGGGGCCCCCCCGGGACAGCCCCGGGGCCCCCCCGGGACAGCCCCGGGGCCCCCCCGGGACAGCCCCGGGGCCCCCCCGGGACAGCCCCGGGGCCCCCCCGGGACAGCCCCGGGGCCCCCCCGGGACAGCCCCGGGGCCCCCCCGGGACAGCCCCGGGGCCCCCCCGGGACAGCCCCGGGGCCCCCCCGGGACAGCCCCGGGGCCCCCCCGGGACAGCCCCGGGGCCCCCCCGGGACAGCCCCGGGGCCCCCCCGGGACAGCCCCGGGGCCCCCCCGGGACAGCCCCGGGGCCCCCCCGGGACAGCCCCGGGGCCCCCCCGGGACAGCCCCGGGGCCCCCCCGGGACAGCCCCGGGGCCCCCCCGGGACAGCCCCGGGGCCCCCCCGGGACAGCCCCGGGGCCCCCCCGGGACAGCCCCGGGGCCCCCCCGGGACAGCCCCGGGGCCCCCCCGGGACAGCCCCGGGGCCCCCCCGGGACAGCCCCGGGGCCCCCCCGGGACAGCCCCGGGGCCCCCCCGGGACAGCCCCGGGGCCCCCCCGGGACAGCCCCGGGGCCCCCCCGGGACAGCCCCGGGGCCCCCCCGGGACAGCCCCGGGGCCCCCCCGGGACAGCCCCGGGGCCCCCCCGGGACAGCCCCGGGGCCCCCCCGGGACAGCCCCGGGGCCCCCCCGGGACAGCCCCGGGGCCCCCCCGGGACAGCCCCGGGGCCCCCCCGGGACAGCCCCGGGGCCCCCCCGGGACAGCCCCGGGGCCCCCCCGGGACAGCCCCGGGGCCCCCCCGGGACAGCCCCGGGGCCCCCCCGGGACAGCCCCGGGGCCCCCCCGGGACAGCCCCGGGGCCCCCCCGGGACAGCCCCGGGGCCCCCCCGGGACAGCCCCGGGGCCCCCCCGGGACAGCCCCGGGGCCCCCCCGGGACAGCCCCGGGGCCCCCCCGGGACAGCCCCGGGGCCCCCCCGGGACAGCCCCGGGGCACCCCCGGCACAGCCCCGGGGCATCCCCGGGACTCCCCGGGGCTGGCCCGGGGCAGCCCCGGGATAGCACTGGGCACCCCCGGGACATCCCCGGGACACCCCCGGGGCATCCCCAGGACTCGCCGGGGCGGCCCCAGGACAACACCGGGACAGCCACGGGGCATCCCTGGGATATCCCCAGGGCAGTCCCGGGACACCCCCGGGACTGCCCCGGGGCATCCTAAGAAGTACCCCGAGATAGCCTCGGGGCACCCCCGGTACAACGCCGGGACAGTCCCGGGGCATCCTCGGGACAGCCCCGGGGCACCCCTCGGACAACACCGGGACAGCCCTGGGGGTAACCCTGGGACAGCCCCAGGATTACCCCGGGGCACCCTCGAGACGTTCC